AGGACGGATTGCAGCTGTAAGTACAGTCTTTGTGGTGAACAGTGAACATGAAGCCCATTCGTCAAATTGTAATTTCTGTAATGTAGATTATTAGTCATGTAAATTTGTTTAAATTTTAGGTTATCTGATACAAAATATATTTGATAATGTTTATTTGCAAAGTAGACTGCGGTAGCGAGCACATTTCTTTGTAATCATGTGCTTGTTCATCTCGCCACACCCTGACCTCTCGCTTCACTCCCCGTAATTCTTACGTTCTCAAGTATGTTTATTGAGACAAGAAAAAAATACATTTCAAAAGGATAGAGTAGCTTAGGCTATTTCTACCCCCCCCCCCCCTTCACGTTCTCGACTCAAACGTAAACATTGCTGGGGGTTTTTGCCCGTTCTCGCGAGCGTTCTCAACGTAAAGAAACTATCGTACTAGAGTACCCTTATCCTAACCTACCAGAGGAGCCAAAACGGAAAACAGGACAGTATGACAATTTCGCGAGTCGCTACCATTTTCTTGTACAGTTTTTTGGCCCTAGCACGTCGTATTTTGACATACTTCACCTATTAAGAGCATAGACTTCCCACAGCCTTTGTTATTATCATCAGTAAACTGCAAAGATCCTAGAAACCTGTACTATAATAAAATAGATTTCTCATAAAACATTCCCGTATTAGGGCGTAATCTAATAAGAACAGAGAGCGTGTAATGTCGGGGGATCATTTTATAATCACAAATGTAACAAATAATGTTGTAGTTAAACTACAATGAATATATTTTCACGTAGTGCTGTGTATAGAGTTAACTAATACACGTTCATTAAACTATATGTGGAAAGCCTGTCACATTCTTTGTAATTGGAAGTTGATGTTCATATCCTTGGACAGTGCGTTTAATGCAGCAGGGCGGTCTCTGTGATTTACCTGTGACTGATCTCGGGTATTTTATACTTATACATTCTGGCCTATGTCCAGAATTTACTGGTGACCGCTTAATCAAATTACTGCTCACGGGCCGAAGGTTCATATAACCATCTCAACTTGCTCACCCACCTCAAGGAATATTGTAGTCCTTGCCTGAAGGCTTCTCACTGTCTTGTGGCAATATTCCATACATATGTTAGTGGGAAACTAGAACGTTGTTGACTTCTGATGTTTACAGTATTCTCCAATTGTTCCTTTCCACTAGGCTTCCTCTACCTCTTGTCGTATGTACCTCACTTTACAGAATTATTTGATTGTGCAGAATAGGGGCGTGATCAAATTGTATTATCCATGACTTAGGTATTTCCCCAACCCGTCCTCCGGTTTAGACAGTACCTTTTGTAACTATGTGTATCATAGTACAAAGAGTGGCGTACTATGCAATTATATAGTAGAATTTGGTACTATTCACTTTACAGTCCGAAAAAAAGAAACTAAAACAAATATTCCTAGGCCTAGTATAGCACACATATGTACTATATTAGGCCTAGGAAGGTTAAGTTAGGTTAGTTTGTCTGCAACATAAATATAAAATCTTTTCCGGTTTGTCCAAATTCAATAGTACCGATTTCTACTTTGTAATTGCGTTGTACGTCGATGTAAATTGAAATAAGTTTATTGAGGTAAAATACACACAAAGGGATGAGGTAGCTCAAGCTATTCTCACCCCGTTCAGTACATCGTGTTAATACATACATAGACACACATCACAAGCAATAAACGTATTACCGAACGTTCTGAGAGATAAACATCTACATTTCCTCCTTTACACAAGTACGTCGGTGTATGTACTTCACTGTTACTACTAAAACAAGAAGACGAGCTGTATTTCCCATATCTAATCCAGAACACAGTAAGTGCTCCGATGCACCTCACAGTTGTTTCCTGTATTATAGATCATTTTCTCGATAAAAGTATAAAGAAGGCTGATACAAGCCAATATTTCTCCCGTGCTACTTGGAACTTTCGTTCCGAGTAGCTGAATCTAAATCTAAAAACTAAAGCCAATATTAGATACAAATAACGGCTCCAAAGAGCCTCCACTTACGGGCTCACCATAGCCGGTGCTACTGGAACTTCCTGTTCTGATTAGCTGAATCTAAAACGACAACAACAGCAGCCAATATTAACAAGTATCGCCATAGTGTGATGAGCACCTATATCATATATATAATATATCAGGAATCTGTACACCAGTTGAGGCGGGACCAAAGAGCCAAAGCTCAACCCCCGTAAGCACAATTAGGTGAGTACCTGGAGCAAATTATAACAACGTCGCTAGGGTTGTAAGCACTCCTATAAGATTTGTGAATGTAAAGGTATAATTAGCCATTAAACTACAAAAAGTGACCTCAGTTGTGGCGGGTAGAGGATATGGCGGACAGGAGCTCATCCAAGCATTACTTTTGCTTTCCATACCATGTTAAAAATTCGCTACCTAGAACAAAAAGTTCCAAGTAGCACGGGCTATGGTGAGCCCGTGCTACTCCATAACAAGAATGCAATTCCAAGCAATTTGTGCTTTTGTATGCTCCTAAGATCAACATTATTATTATTGTAGTTTTTATTAGTCTCTCTAAAGCACTATTCTTTTTATTACAGAAGCGAAACAAAACTTCATTACGTTTTGTTTGTGAGTGATGACCTGCCTAGCTTGGGGGCAGTTGCCTGCTGGTACATGGTAAGTAGCATTGTTGTTTTTGTATAAATTTGATGTCTGAAGGTCAGGGTCATGCACAATGGATAGCAAGCTTCCCCAACCTTGGTACCAGTCTCTTTATTAACTAAATCAAGGCCAGCGACGCATATTAGGTTTCCTGTTATGGTTTTGCTTGTCAGTATTGGAGTCTTTATATACAACCCATAATATGGCAGTGCTCGTTCAAACAGCGGCTGTCCGCCAATGACGCATTAGTCAATTTTTGAGGATGGTATAGCAAGTTTTCTCAGATATAAATATTACGAGCTTTAGGTGCGAGTATAGTTAGAGCTGGGGTAGTTACATGTTTTGACCAGTAGCACATATTTATTTATAGTACTGTACATGTCTTTTTTTTTTAAGAGGGGATGGGGCGGGGTGGATTAAGGACCATTTGCTTAATGTTTCGAGGATGGGGTATCTTGAGGGTTATCTTGAGATGATTTCAGAGCTTAGCATCCCCGCGGCCCGGTCCTCGACCAGGCCTCCTTTCTGTTATATATCCCCAGGATATATAAAAAAAATTAGACAGACCGTAGCAGCTGTCTAACTCCCAGGTACCTATTTACTGCTAGGTGAACAAGAGCATCAGGGGTGAAAGAAACTCGGCCCATTTGTTTCCGTCTCCGCCGGGTATTGAACCCGGAACCTTAGGGCTACGAATCTCGAGCGCTGTCCACTCAGCCGTCAGGCCCCATGGGGGGCTGACTTATCCCCCATTCACCATTAATATCTGGAACTTCTCTCATGACGTGGTTTAGTTGCTAACCACGTCATCTCTAGTTGAGCATCACGCAAACATTTTCAGTATTATTGGCAGCCTCAAAAGCCTCGCCCATCGTTAATCCAAGAGCAACCTCCTCTCTCCCGGTTTTGAATAAAAAAAATTACACAACTGATTACGTTTTAACTTTTATCAAATAGTGCCTCGCACACTTCTTATGTTCGACACTCGATATTTCCCAACATAAATCAAATATCTAACTTAACCTAGGCCTAACTGTACTAAAATCATTACACAGATGAGCACACAGCAATTCACAATAACGTGACTGACAATTCGACACCCAACACACATGTAAAATTAAAAGAAGGGACACTACGGTCCGATCTGGCCTCTCCACAGACGTTTTCTTGTTGAATCCTCTCTCATGTGCTACATGCCCATTAGTCCTGGCTTTGTTGCGGTCGACTCTTGACTTTCACAGTACGTAGTTAAACGCTTTAACCTTCTTAACCAACATGATCTTACTGCTTTATTCCCTCTAGGCTCTTTCTTTTTCTCTTGCTGTATCTTTTTGTTCATTTGTATCGCTTTCTCGTCATTAGGCATTCTGCAGTATTCTTTATGCCTATGGTCATATGGTTAAGTTTTCACCCTCTCGCTTTTCACCTCGCAGCATTCTTATTTTATATACTGACTTTCTCTACCAATTTCTTTGTACTTGATAATGATCCAGGACGACCCTAGACGGTGGCACTTCGTATGTGTGGGTTGAGTGTCGCATTATGGTATTTTTTTTAATTATATATTATATATATCTTGGCCGCAGAATGGAGGAGCGTAGCCTAAGGACGGGTTGCTTACTGGACATGTTAATTACATTAGTTGTTTATTCAGTGGGAAGAACGCTCTTGAAATACTAATATTAATGACTTTGAAGACTTTGCGACCTCTTATATTTGTTTAATGTTCTTTAGGGCGCAAACATTCAAATATGCTTTTCGCGTGACAATTAAAATAAAAGATGTCCAGTTTGGTAGCTAATCAAGAGTGCATTAACAACCATCCGAATTTCAAAACAGTTGATCACAATAAAATTAGTCTTTATAAGGGGGAAAGGGACGAAGTTTCTTCTGGCAACATATAGATCATTATATTGACTTCTTGCTCTATTAGACTGAACCTTAACAAAAATTGATTCATGTTGCCAAAATGAGATGTGTGGAAGAGTTACCGGCTTTGTTTATACTGTACACTGTCTTCTGCATATATAGGTTAGGACCTTTGTACCTTTTTTATAAGGCATATGAGTATATTACTTTATAACCTTTTTTTTTAAAAGTTGTGTAATTCTTTGAACTTTTAAGTACTAATTATCGAAAATTATCCACGAAAGATCTTGAACTAAAATAATGTTAATTCTTGTTTTATATTGACGTTCCTTAGTCATATTTCCAGTTTATATATACACGGCTTTATTGTATGTGTAAATGGTTGTACATAATAGTATCTAAACGTATTATTTTATACATCACAAAATAGTTCACTCAACACTGCTCGAGAATGTTGTCTTTGTGAGACGAGGTAAGAAAAACACACTTGTACAGGAAAATATCTATTTACATAAGCATCATTAATTATAACCGTGAGTCTATAATACAATTTGTACAGGACTTTGGCCAGTCACTTGCTCATAGTCATCAAGAAAAATAGCATATACATTTAACTCTATATAGAAAGAGAAGAGAAAGAGGGACATTTAGCGTGCGTCTTTTTAGTTATGAGTTATTGTTTTGACGCAACCGGCTCACCTGACCATCCCACCGTCAGCGCCTCCTACTGTGTGGGGCCAGAGACTCCTTGAGTGGTCAGCTGGCGAGCCGTATCACATGTATTGTTCAGCTGTCTTGGTCAAGGTCTTCCGCGTCTCGCAGGACGGTTGCCTCCAGGGAGGAGACACGCAACCTGACATTGTAGGCCCATCCCTCAATAGGTTTCCCGTATGTGCAACACTAAAATAGGGGCTTCTCTAAATTGACCAAATTTTCATCGTACTACGGTGTTGTAAGCATGTGACATTGAATGGCCTCTCAACGCTGCTAGCGGAAGCTACTCAACACGTTAGTATCTCTGGGGCTTAAATCCCCATGTCGCTACATGAAGCTACTGGAAGGGGAGGGTGCATTACTGTACTTGAACTCTTATCACTTGTAAGCGCTTCAAGTCCAGAATGCTGCAAGCTGCTGCCAAGTCATTTGCTGTCTCAGTCTCACACCACTGAAAAGGTATAAAAAATATGGCCAACTTTCTCGAGAAGATAAAGTTTTGCGAATTTTGTAAACCAAGGCGACATTTGCTACACATGGCGAGATGTGAAGTTTAAGTGTGGCCCGAATACCTATTTTCCGCTGCCAGCCACGACCTACAAGGCTCTGCTTGACTACGACCACCCACCACCTGCAAGACTGTCATGGGTGGCATGATCATCCACGTCCCACTACCAGCAATCATCTGCAAGGCTCTTGGTGACTCAACCACGTCTTGTCAGAACCCAGTCTCTCTCTGGTTTAACTCTATCTAATTTGGCTGGAGTAGCCAGCGTTCACTTCCCTGAACCTCGCCAAATTTAAAAAACACTGGTTCCAACAGAACCTAGTAGAGTACCGTCCTTGTAGGGACTTGCCCACCATCTTAACACAACTTCTAGTGTCACTCAGGCTCCACGGCACCTTACCACGCTGTATCATGTCGGCAAGGGGCAGGAACCGCCGACAAACATGTACAAACACACAAAAACAAGTTTTTGTTTGTAGATAACGTCTCGCGGACGTTACATGGACTGGTGTTTTTGGAGAATGATTCTAGCAGTTCGACGAATGTTGTCCGACCCACACTACAGCAAGGATACCATGCGGGATGAAATATGGATGATCTGCCCCCGGTTAGCTTGTAAGTGGCGTTGTGAATTGTAAATTTGAATCCTGACAGTTGTGGCTGGACCCGATAATTTTAACCCTCATTCTGCCAGTTGTAGACACTTGGGAATTGTTAACGTCCACAGGCGCTCATTTGGTTACAAGGCAGCGTGGCTACCAGCCTTCTCACGTAACAAGTCACCAACCCCCCTCCCCACCAAACTACCAACTTACCATATAACTGACCTTGCGCACGCTTTCACACACTCCAATACAACCAATGTATTACGCTAAAATGAAACTTACAACACCCTCTCACACACAGCCAGGACACCCATCCTCTCGAGTTGCCATAAGGGACAGAAAATGGTGTGCTAAAACGATCGAATTTAACTAACCTATCGACCACGCATAGAAAACGTGAATGTTTGCGAGCCGCCTTGATTTACACAACTATTTTTTTTCTCCGTTCGCGAAGTCAAAATACCTGATCAACCAGACTGTGACTCATACGCCAGGCTGTGAGCAGCCGCGTCCAACAGCCTAGTTGACCAGTCCAGCTACGAGGCGGCCTGGTCGACGACCGGGCCGCGGGGTCGCTAAGCCCCGAAATCACCTCAAGGTAACCTCAAGGTAGAGGACAGCAACCAACCATTGCACACCCGAAATAACTTATATTAATTATCAAAGAATAACATTTTCTTGGATATATTTGATGGCGTATTCAACACCATCAACTTCCGTTAATATAATTAAATGTAAAAACTCAACACATTCAGCTTGGCCATGGGGAATATGGGGCAGCAGTGTGAGTACTATTGTTACGCTCGTCCTGACTTACTAGCACCTACTCCCCCCCCCCCCCCTCATGTCATCACTGATCATGACCTTACAATGACACTCGACGAGTCTTAAGTATTTAAAATGAATGAATGAGAAGGAGTGGAGGGGAGGGAGGACTGAGGAAGATGAGAGGACCAAGAGAGAGACGATGGTAAGGTAGTTCTCAAGATGTATCACCATACAGCGCTGGGGTTGACGGAGAGAGGCTCCTCTGAATAGTTGTGACGACCGTAAACTCATTCACCCGGAACTCTGTCACAGGTGCGCCCCCACAGCCACCACCAGGTGTCCTGATCACATCTGGTGTACACACATGTGGTCATAACACAAGTGTAATAACATGTATACGAGGGCAGTCACGCAAACGCACGTGCCATTCCATGTACACGAGGGTGGTCAAGCTTAGAACATGTGCGAACAGGTGTAGGCTATACAAGGGTGGGCAACTACGCAGGTGCAAGTATACGCCTGACATCTGTTAGGAGCACTTGTTAGCATGTCTGAGTGTAAGTTACGTTAGTAACTGTTTAGGTATCGTAAAACCTTGGGGCGTGAAGAGTATAATTATGGTTATATTTTATCACATTATAGACATTTATGTGAAGGAAAAACAGCAGCCAGTCACATTAGAATCTGATGTAAGGTGAAAAATGTAAAATAGAGAACATTTGAGTGCAGCAATGAGCGCGCCCCCTGACGCTAGAGGTGGACATACTTTTACACAAGTGACGGCACAAAGGAATCCAGACTTGCCAGATGGCAACCACAGTAAATTAGGCGTCCGGAGGGAGGGGGGGGGGGTTGTAGATGGGCAAGTTGGTTGGGCAGCCGGACTTCACTAATAGCTTTGTTTCTTGCGCTATAATAACCAACGTTACAAATACAGACTACTGTGAAAAGTAACGGCTCATAACTACTGTTTTCTATGCATCGGACTTAATATATATAAATTAGGTTTGTTTGGATTTTTATCCGTTGTCAAATCGAGAAAACGGTCGTGAGCAGAGATGCTTGTCTGCAAGAAATGAGCCCCAGCTCTCGTTGTTAATTTAGATTCAACAAAATTTCCATGTTGCACGGACCCGTGAGCGAGCCCCTAATAAGCTCTCGGGCCCCGCTTTTTAAGTATGCCTCCTCATGCAGCGAATTTAGAAACTCTTGTGCCGTGTCGTAAAGTCTTCTTGGATCAGGATAACTTAAGACAAGAGATCAGTGATGACGGCAAGCAGAATGCAAGTGATTTACCAATTTGCATTTACACATAGAGAGCAATGCTCACTTAGTTAATTAAAAGAGCCACCCCTGCGAGCATTGGCTGTTCCAGCTTTACCGAAACATCGACTCTAGTCTTCTAGACGAACGGCGAGACGAATCCGTTAGAGAAGCAGGCTGGCAAGACGTAGGTTTAGTATCCGAGTACATGAAAGTGAACAGAGGCATGAAGAAGGGTAAGGAAACACAATGAAAACTAATTCAGCAAGATTGGGGAAGGGTGAGGGAGTTGTCGGCCAACGCTTGGGAAATGAGTGTAGTGTAGAGGGGCAAGTGCCTGCACAATAAACAATTGTGGGATGAACCTCCCTTTGAACGCGGAGGAATACAGGTATATACATCACCGGCGCTCGCAGCCATGCACCTGCAACCGTCGCAAGAGCCCCCCTCCCCCCCCCCCGATCCTCTCCACAAACTGCAGGTGCACATTTAAATCTGCCGCCGCCTCCCTAACGGCTCCTCGATTCAAACTGCAGCAGCGGCAACGCAAGTCACACTGCAGGCTGGTGGCGGCCTTGGAGGGGGAGGAGGGGGTGTTGGCCTTGTATGGACAGGTGGCCACAAACGTGCCCTGTGTACTGATGTCTCCACCACACACCCGCAAGCACATCCACTTCATCTCAAACACTTCCTTCAATTAACAAAGGATCCTGGTCATCATATTAAATTACTGTGATTGTAATTTCATGGCTATTTACTCGGCCATCATTTAGGAAAAAAATGTTATGCAGGCCACAGCGTATGACGGGCGCCGCCATAACAAGTGGAGGCGTTTGGCGCCCCACCCTTCATTATGGCAACCAGGATACCAATTATGACCTCAAGGATGACCCCTCCACACACGCCAGGCGGTACTGGTCACCAGCAAGACGCAGAAGACAGTAGGAGGGGAGGAAGATGAGTGAGGGAGGAGAAACAGCAGTAATATAAACAACGAAAGAGGAACAGGCAAGCAAAAAAGACATCCTATGAACTGTCTCTCCACGTGTCAACCTTGTCTGCATTGCCAAAGCATTAATATTTCTGTGTGCATTATAAAAATGAACACATGTAAAATAAGAATAAAGATTTTAATATTTTTTTTTACTTTACGAATAAGTTTAGGTGTGGTTAAGGTGGTGGTGGGGAAGGCTTTAAAGCGTCCCGTCACACACATTCAAATGCAGACACCCAGACACCAACTCGAACGGAAAAAAGTAATCCAATCAATCTGCAATTTAAGTGATGATAAACTAATTCATTAACAGCTCTCAAGTGGGCAGAGTACGGAAAATCACGAGACTTTGCAGTAGCCAGACACACGAGAAATGAAATGACCTAAAGGGAAGAGAGCTTCATCGGCGACCATTAGATAGGCGGGCGAAAAGGATGGTCAACCCACTCTACATCCACCCTCATTTCTACCTGGAGACGGTTCCGAGAGTTGTTCTACTGCCTCAAGCCCAGCCTGGAGCCAGGCTTGTAACTTGGTCCAATTCTGTAGTACTCTGCCACAGCTCCTGGATCCTCCACCCTGACTTCTCTACCACGCCCACGAGCTAATTTCATACTTGTGTAAAAGAAGGGGAAAGGGGCCTCCAAGCTTCAGGAAAAGGGATAATTTCATGGGCCAATGTTTGACGCCATGTCTGTTCAACTAAGGTACCATGTGTAATTTTTGGGTGACTGGCGGGTCCTGCAGGATCTTGCGATCAATTATAATGGCTGCGAGAAAGCATGTATGAGAGAGACTACACACAAGCAAGAACCAAAACCACTGCACGAAACGAAGGAAGCGTCACAAAATGTTAAATCCAATTAAAACAAACCAAAATATTTTTCTTTAATAAATATTAATGTTGCATATGTTTCCTCGAAAATAAATACTGTATATAATTTTGTCTTATAATTTATTTTGCTTTGCACCGCTCATGTCTCTTTCAAGATAAACAAAAATAAATTCCTTAATGCTACAAAGTCCTTTATATCCCACACGTGATACTTTGAGAAAATGACTAGAAACAAGAAGGTTCCGATACATAAAGACTACTGAATGTTACAGCTCAAGAGGCACAGGTTCGTTTTTTAATGAAATACAAGTACAGTTTAACGTCTGAAAAGGCATTATTTGCCATTGTTCCCGTGTAGTTCTAATGTCAATTTAGATTCTCGGCTGAAAATTTAGGCGTCCGTGTGGATAATGTGGCCGAAACAGAGACAAATCAAGAAAGGTCAGAGTAGAGAAGCTGTGAAATCTTAACTGATCAAGCTAGCATCTGAGCAAGTAATGATAAAACCTGCTAAGGAAATACTAAGTTTGGTTACAATATTACTTTGCTATTGATCCAACTATCCAAACTGGATAGACATTATATACTCCAGTTTTTCCAAAGCAGATTCAAGTATCCTACATATTTTAACATTTCATTGTCGTAATCAGTGAGATTTCATAAGATCAGCAACAAAGAGTAGTGGCAACTTGCAGAATGCTCTCCATTAAGAACAAGCTGTTAAGTGGTATTTAGGATGGGCAGATATACGCGCGCGCACACCGCGTCTCACACTTGGGGTATATATATACCGGTCTTTCTTGGGATAAGCAGTTTCACCAGGTATATACGCCAGTTTCGCAAGGCATATATTATACAAGGTTTTGCAAGGTCTGATTATACCAGGCTCACGCGGTATATATACATCAGTCATACACTGTATATATAACTTATCATGTGGTGTGTGTATGTACAATGTGTATATACTACACACACCACATGGCTATATTTACTATGTTACATACTAACAAAATGCATCAAGTATATGTACAGACTAAGATATATATATCTTGCTCTCTCATGCCCCATATACACAGATTTTCCCCTGGAAAAGAAACTACTACTACACAAAGTATATTTTGACTGAAGACAGACATTCTTTCCTTAAGTAATATTATAAAAAGTCTTCCATTAAAATGTAACGCACTGACTTAGGTAAATATAAACAAATAGAAAATATAAGAATATTAAGCATACTCCAACAAACGGAGGAACAAGTAGTCACAAATTGGTCATAAAAGTATAAAGCTCATTTTAAGTCATCATATATTTAGTCCTTCGGGTCACTGATGTCATATAGAGTCAACAAAAGTCATTGGATGTACACAATAAAATGGGATGCATATGTAGATATATATATATATATACACGTGTGTATATGTATGTGTATATATATATACACATGTATATACATATAATGTATTATATATATAATGTATATATATATTAAATAATACAGTATACATATATTATCATGGACGAGGAGATAGCCAACTGTCAGAGCTATAGGAGAGGTGGCCCAAGAATATTACTCTGGGGGAATGACGTAGGGTGAGTGTGGCACAGAAATATGGATATTCTGTGTGATAGTCGTGTGGACACCCGAACACAGTAGAAGGCATCCACAAGCAAAAAAGGCTGAGCCTGAGGGCTTTGTACCACGAGTTCCATGATGGATTATAAGAGTGTAAGGAGGAATCCATTTAACATACAAAAGGGCCACCTACTCCCCATGTCGACCACAGGCACACACCTCGCCCGACACCATGATCACTGCTATCATTAACTGCATAAAGGGTGCCTTGTGACGCACATACAATCCATCGCCAAGGCATTAGGAAATTGGTTCCACAGTTATAACACCAAAATTCCATCTCGACAGAGCTAGGGTAAGTGGGATGGTAACTCCATGGCTCTGACACTAATTATTTCATTTGCAACTACACAAAATAATTTCTAAAGTATATTACTCATTTAATATAATATCCTCTACTCAGTCGAGCCATGACTCTAGTTGACCATTCTTTGTTTACACCTACTGCTGGAGGTACACCTTCAGCATCTCTTGATTGTACACTCGAGCCTTTATCTAGAAACCGGTGGAGATAACTCACGTGTTAGTAATTATGCGAGTGTTGCCATAAGTTTACAGAATTTGATCACAATGTGTCTGGCAAAAACCAGCGGGACCTACATACAAATTATGTAAAAAATGGTTATCACTCAATTTGTAAAGCGAGCAACCCCACTTCCTGTGCAAACCAGGTAAGCCTATTGCCTTCTCGAGGTTCGACTGTCTTGCATCCTCCAGGTGCTTCTTCCGCAACACAAACCAGTTGCTCTTTGCTACTTCATCACAGTACTCATTATATCACAACTCAAGAATTTGTTTTTCTATTTAATACAAGATCATAAAAAGTGTATTTCCTTAGTATCGTACATTTATAAGCATTTTCCTTTTCGACATCTCACAACTTCTTGCTTTAAACTGACAGCGTAATAAGGTTGGCCAAAAACACATATTTCACAGTGGAATAAGGACACTAGTACACAGCACATTTTCTGTAAAGTGAAGGTGCGGATCTTGAGCGCAGCAATAACAGTCCATTCTCCCCAATGGCATCATTCATATTTAATTCACTTCAGCTTTGAAGCTGGGGTTGGTATAAATTTCCTGTGTATCAACATGTTAATGAATAACATAAATGGTCCCAGAATTTGTTAACTCATTAATATTAAACGTAGACTGAATTTACTTCTACACCCACAACCGAATTAAGTTATTAACAAATGTCTATTCTAGCCAATATACACTTTTAAAGTACTTGAACATTCCACTCAAGTAGTCTGATCTGCCAACCACCAATACTGGAAGACTATCTTTTGTTAATACTTTTTGGTGTCTCAAACACCTTGAAAAAACCTCGTCAGAATGATGGGTTAAGTTTATGCGCAGCCAGAATGAATTCCTTGAAATTACGAAGAAAAACAACTGGCAATCACTGAACGCATCAGTGTTAAGGGGGGGAGGGGGCGTGCCGAGAGGGGAGGATGCCACAGTGGGCTGCCGGAAGCCGCACGTCAGCCGTCACTACTTCACGTACACATTGCTTTCTTCGCACTTTAATTATGCAAAACATTTCCACGGGTATGCACAGTATACACATAGCAAGTGATTCTCTTAAGTTGCATGCTCGTTCCCAGCAGCGAGGGTATGGTCGGGAGCCACATCATTTGATGGACGACTGGGAGTTCTGGTTCTCGTCAGTGCCCTTGAAGAACCCCTGGCGAGTCTTGCACTCCCGGATGGTCACGGTGATGAGGTTGGCCGTCACGTCGGTGATGAAGATCTCGTCTGCTAGGGGGTTCCTCTTGTACCAGTAACTCGGGTCCGGCGCCACTAACACCTGCAACGGGAAAGAGAGAGCGTTATTCACTATGCTATAAAGCAAATAATACAGTATATTTGTTTTCTTCAGTAAGCTTTCCTTTATAAAAACAAAAGGAAATATCTGCGGCTCCTCTGTTATTATTTGATTGCATTTTACTGATGCACGAAATGCGAGACAGAAGTCATTTAATTAACACCACTTACAATAAGATAAACAATAAAAATTAACAAAATATATCACATAATATGATACTGTTTCTATTAGACACCTTTTGTAATTAATAGTTTTTTAAATGTTAGATTAATTAGTTCGAAAGTTATGAAGAGGAATTTATGCAACTCTTGTGTTTATGAAATAACAATCGGTAACCATATTTTAAGGTTTGGTTTACAATCTCGGTTCAACTTTATCATAAAGGTGAAAACAGAACCAATATGTGAATTTTGGTTCGAGGTTAAGACATCAATCTCTGGAGGGATATTAAGACATCCACTACACTTTACCGGCTAAGACAAAAGTAAACATTCAGTGTACATCACCGAGGAGCCGGGTGCGCCTCTCACTATATATCCCATCAGATTTGTGGGTTGATACTACACCGAAGCTGTCTCCCGAAGCCAAAATAAAACCGATATCGGCGGAATATCGGTTTTAACTCCACCCTTTACTCCCTAGTTCCTGCCAGGTGCACATTTGGATGCACGTAATTGCACATGCTCTTATGTATGTATGCGTTTGTTTACAGAATTGCGTGCGTACAAGTGTACATGCTAGCAAGTGTATGCGTGTATATAAACATACGCACACATGGGTGTCCCACTGCATTCTTCAGCCGTGCGCCGCAAATATAGAACGCACTCGCCAAAAATACCACATTCTCTACACGAACGCAAAGCTGTCAACAACAGCGGGGGCAAACTTTAGCCCGAATATAACGTGTTAATTACTGAACTTTGAAGTCATTTGTAATAATGCAATGAATTGTTAAACACAAAGTGGTAGCTACCCAATCGTGGAGACACTTAGCCTAATAGCATGTCATTTTTGGCGTATGTACAAAAAGTGGATTGCTTCCAAATTTGTTTTAATTGACATCTTAGAGCATGCCTTGTTTAATTGTTCTATTACTTTACCACGCCCGTCACCTACACCGAGAACATTGTTGTACTTAATAGCACGTAATGCTGGGAAATTAGGCAGCCCTCGTAGGCAAGGACCGTTTTGCCTAAAAAAGCGTTTTTTTGTATAATATACTTTCTCTATAAATATTAGTCTTAACTTTAATTAACATTATATTAAATATATTAATTACTATGGCCAAGTGGGCCTATTTTATTTAATAAGGCAGATTTTAGAAATAATGGGCATATTTAGAAAAGATTCCAAAGTTATTTTGCTCAAAATTAATATCATTTATGTCTCGTTCATTAAACTGAACATATCAATCCAGAAGAAAACCTAAACAATAATTTAAGGGAAATTCGCTTTACCGACCACAGTTGGGTGATAAACACATTATAATGTTACTGGGTTAGATAAATGATTCTGCCACGAATCTTCTCCATAATTTGTGTTTACTTGGGAATAGTAAAAAAAAAAAAAAAAAAAAAAAAAAAAAAAAAAAAATATAGGCCTGGCGGGCGTTAGTGCCTAAGCTGTAAAACAAACCGAATTTTCATGAAATACTAGATTTTTTTTAATTATTTTTCTTGGAATAAACCTTTCTATTATATATGATTTTTTTATTCGATTCAAAACTAAGTTTTAGTTTCGGCTTTATTAAACCTAACCTAGCTAACATAACCAATTCAGCAATTCATGTTCTTAATGTTAATTGGAATTAACTAATGTGCAAATAAATATTTGAAAATGACGAGTCACTGCCTATTAGGCATATCGGGTCTTGCATACTAGGCCACGTAGTGCCTACTACTAGAGGGAACGAAGCCTTTGCTAAGAATTATAGACCAATCACATTAACGTCCCACATAATAAAAGTTAAGAGCGTGATCAAGAATCAGTCAGATCTTCAGTGTTTGAGACCAATGACCTCCACAACCCAGGCCCAACATGGATTTAGAGCGGGAATATCATCATGCCTTTCGTAGCTACTCGAGTACTATGAGAAAATTACTGATGCATAAAAGAAAAACAATGCAGATGCGGTATACAAAATTATACCTTATTTTTACATTTAGCTTTGCAAAAGCATTTAATGTGGGCATAGACTGAGAGCCCATAAAATGTTCGATCCCCATCACCAGGGATCGAACCCAGACCCTAGGATTACGAGTGCATAGTGCTGTCCACTCAGCTATCAGACCCCCCACAGCTGTGTGTGTGTGTTTGTCTCACTCTTTATTAAATATATACAGTAATAGTGTAATGTGTGGATGGTCGCTAGTGAGAGGAGCTCAGCAGTGTGAAATACTAAAAATATAATAGTTACTCCTTTACTATGAGAAAGGGGCATGGATTGAGAAACCTGTTAAACAATGGCAGAATTGTCTGCTTTATGCGAGTATGGGCAAAATATGGACACTAGGAAATTCCTGTTTACCCAAGGTCGGTGAATAATGATGTATATTAGTATAAAACAAATTGTTTTGAAATGTTTGTTTTCCAAAATATTTTGCTGCGTAGCCGGCCGGCAGTGCCAAGGTTGTCGTGGGAGGTCTGAATGTGGCCCTGGCGCTTTTCCCTTTTTGAATTCTGGTGACTGACCAGCCTATGTTCATCCCATACCCCAGACTATTCCCTCTGCCAATTTGGATGACGTTAGCCCAAAGTGTATGTCATCCAACTTTGGACAGACACTTCTCTTTTATATATATATATATATATATATATATATATATATATATATATATATATATATATATATATATATATATATATATATATATATAATGAATAAAGCTAGGTTTATAAAGTGTGGTTCATGAAGCGAAACATTACTGCCAGTCAAAATAGTTTAGAATGAATGTGGGGTTATTATTATAAGCAAAGAACGATGACAAAATGGCACATTACACTAACAATACAACATTTATGTGATGACAAAATTGAAACAAGGGTAATTTAGAGACTGCCCCAGCTGCTGTTACTCTCCCCGTTCCTTGCAAGGGCCTCATACCATCAATAATCTCACTGCTTTACCCCCACTTTTAAAAATGAAGTCTAACGCGTTACAAATGACTGTTGTTGTGCAACTACCAAATCCTAGAATGACAGACATGGGAAAAGCATGAATGTTCTTACCTCTTCCTCTTCCTCCTCTTCCTCCTCCTCCTCCTCCTCTTCGCCTGGGCCTTCCACAGTTTCTTCAACACTCTCGCTTTCGTAGACGCCAGCCTCGTGGTCCTCCTTGACGGCAGGTTCCGTGGAGTTGGTGAGGGGCTCGAGAACGTCGCCATTGACGTGCGGGGTGTCTGGGACTTGTGTTGCTGGCACCGCAGGTTCGCTGGCCGCCTTGCCCGTCGCAGGCTCTGACGTCGGGGTGGTGGGAGGCGGACTTTTTGGCGTCTTGGGCGTCTGAGGTGCTGGGGACGTTGGTGCGGAGGGCGTGCCTGTCGACTGCGGCGTTTTGGGCGACGTTTTGGGCGACTTGTGTTGGTCCTCTCGGGCGTGTGATGGCGATTTGGGAGAGGTCAGTCGCGGCAACTTGGGCGGCGGACTGTCTCTACTTTCCTTAACGATGGCTACGCCCAATTTGCCATCTCGCAGTGGCTCAGCTTTGCGTTTACCGGACGGTGGAGGCGTAGTGACAGGAGGTGAAGAGGAAGATGATGTGGTGGTACTTGTAGTAGTGGTGGTAGTGGTAGTTGCTGTGGTGGTGGCGGTAGATGGGGAAGGAGAGGGAGAGGAGGAGGATGATGATGAGGTGGTTGTTGTGGTAGTGGTAGTTGTGGCGGTGGGGGTGGTGGTAGTAGTGGTGGTGGTGGCGGCGGTGTCAACATCGGTGGTGTCATCGTCGTAGTCCTCCTCCTCTTCCTCCTCCTCCTCCTCGGTACCAGTGTCCAGCTCGACACGGCTGCTGCTGCTGCTGCTGCTGGTACTCCTCTCCGCCGCCGCTGCTGCCGCCGCCGCCAGAGTGCTGCTCCTCGTGTTCTCCTGCAACACAACAAATCATCCCACTCAATACAGGTAAACATAGCACCTCACTGCAAAAAAGCAATGTTTAGGTCACCACCCTTATAACTATTACAAACTTTAGGCAATAAAACCTATAACTAGTACACCACACATGTAAACTGCTTACCCTACAGAACACGGGAGTCCGGCTCCTCAACTCATTATGTAACCAACCTTCATGTTAACTATCTAAAACTGAAATTCTGTAAGTAGCTCTTCAATTATATCAAATTGGATTAGAAATTTGGATTAAAGACCTGCCCGAAACGCTATGCGTGCTAGTGGCTATACAAGAATATAAGAACTATTGTATATATATATATATATATATATATATATATATATATATATATATATATATATATATATATATATATCAGGGATGGCATGCAAGACACAACGAGGTCAATGATATCAAGAGAAGCCTCGCCTCAGCTCAGTGCCCAGCTGAGAGAGAACCTTGTATCCTAGGGGACCAAAACCCGGATTTCCCCGCACTTCGCCCTGATGGCATCACCATATACTCCTGGAAGGAGGGTAGACAGTTGGTGTGGGACTACACATGTGTATCCACCCTGGCTGACACCTATGTACACCTCGGAGCTGATCAAGCAGGTGGGGCGGCCAACCACAGGGAACTAGCAAAATCAGCCTAGTACAGGCGATTGAAAGGTCAATACACCTTTGTTCCCATAGCGTCTGAGATGCATGGCCCCTGGGGCAAGAGTGCCTTGGGATTTATCAAGGAATTGGGCTCCAAGCTCATTGACGTCAAAATACCCAAGAGCTGCCAGTTTTTTGTTTCAGCGCCTCAGTGTGGCAATCCAGAAGGGAAACGCCTGCTACATCTTCGGTTCCTGCCCGGAAGTACAGGAGCTTCAAGAGACACAACCTTTAAGCACTCTTTGTATCAACCAATGTATATCTTGTAATCTTTAAATACATAATAAAACAAAAAAAATCAAGAGGAAGGGGGTGGTAGGAGAAAAGCACAGAAACTGAATTGGAGGGGACCTAAACATTCCCTATAATGCGTTGTGTGTGGTTTCCTCCGAGGCTAAGTGTTCCCTTCTTCCAGCCAGAGGTGGTACTCCCTTTCCCTTTGATATATATATATATATAATATATATATACACACACACACATACATACATACATATACACACACTTCCTCACTTCCCGCCTTCAACCCCGCCCTCACCACCCTCACACTGGTGCCTAGAGCTGTGGCACCCTGACCCAGCTGGCTCCCGCACGACCCCTGAGCCTTCAACCAACCCGTCCTCTTAAAAATAACGTCACTTTTGGCCCGTATGCGCACTATGGCCAAATTTGGACGTAATTTGAAATGAAATCCACTCACAAAAGTGACGTTCTGTTCCGTTTTCTATTTGAGTCGTCCGGTGTACGCGCAGAGGTTATGAGAGGACACTTTAAATTAACGTTTTTCATAACGTTTTGAAACTTTATGAGAATTTCCTGCCCACCTAACCTATCAGAGGACCCTTAACTTACTGTTGTTGAAAAAAAAAATCCCAAATTTATTTTCATATTTTTTTCAATTTCAAATTACGTCCAAATTCGGCCATACGGGCAAACGGCCAAAAGCGACGTTCTTTTTAAGAGGACAGGTTGTCAACAACACACACGAGTTAGCGGGGCAAAATATGACCATTACCCTGTCTCATATTGTGCCCTCGTTTGTAAGAAACGTTGTTACATCTAGACTTGGTGTTACTGACTCATCGAATGACGTAACAAAAACTTGTTCCGTATCAACGAGGTCGTTGGCACCGGATATACAGACATGATACAAAACCATGTATGTATAATGACTTACTGTTAATATATAGCCCTTGAAATACAACGTTCTCTGTAACTAGCTGACATTGTAATTATAAGGTGTGAAGGATAGATGAAATTGTTTATGTAATAATCTAAGTTGAGGTCTGATAAAGACCTTTTGTACCCTCTGTAATGCTTTTTGCGCTACCGCTCACAGGATTAGTATGGGGTGCACAATAAACTGTGAGTGTGGGGGTGAGTATGGGGCAACATTAAAAAAAAAAATCACGATACAAAACTATCAAGGTTTCTAGCTGTCGACTCTGCTTCCCAACATGAAAACTCGCGCGGGATTTCTTTTTTGTTATCAACCTCAGGCTTGGCCATTTATTTATACAATGATAACCAACATATACATATATGTTCTGGTCTCCTTGGACATGATAATAGAGATCTGTTCTGCTACATATACTATACGGATTACTGTGCACTCAGAGATAATTTTGGGGTGCTTTTACAATATCACAAATTGCGATGCTAGGCAGCACATCAAATTATATATGCCCTGCAGGGATAAGTCAAGAGAGATGCGAAAGCACAAAACATTACTGATCACTCAACTACAGGCGATAATGGTGCTGTGGTTTGCACCGTAACCAATATGACCACAGGGATCATCCCTCCCTCTGGTTTACTTGTGGCTCGTTTGAAGTGTCTTGCTTCATGCAGGTCGGCGTTCAATCCCCGACCGTCCAAGTGGTTGGGCACCATTCCTTCCCCCCAGTCCCATCCCAAATCCTTATCCTGACCCCTTCCCAGTGCTATATAGTCGTAATGGCTTGCTCACCTGATAGTTCCTTTCGTTCGTGTTCAAGTGTTTTCAACTCTGGCAGTCCGTCATGGCGATGGACTGGTCAGTAAGGTTATTGATAAAATAATCATATGATTGATTTTGTTAATGTGTTATGCACCCTATACCAATCCCGTGGGCGGTAGTGGAAAAGGTTACAGAGGTGCACAATGGGCTCTAGCAATAAGTATAGAAGCCCTTCAGAAAATACCCAATGAAATAAATCTACAATCCCACCTACCCTTCATAATGTTCAATTAAAATATAACTGCAAGTAACATACTGTATCGTAACCCAAAAATTGTAAATATAAATCTTGCTCTGAAGTCGGTGCCAAAAGCACGGTAAATTATCCCAGAGAAAAAGGCGGGAAACTGGTGCGGGTGGCGGGCGTACGATGCTTTGTGAGAGGCGCGGGAAGGCGGACCAACACCAGCCCAGCAGCCTGCTCTAGCAGGAATACGTAAGCACGGACAGACATGCGACACAGACAGCCGCTACACAGCCTTCCGTCACCCCCCCCCCCCTGACACACACACACACACACACAGAGCACGTGATGAACTACCTATCACACAGAAAGCACAGACTAATTAATGTGATTCCAGAGAACATAACTAAGGAGAGTAACGAGTGTATCTCTCTCAAGGGAGCATTGTCAAGACCAATACCGTTGTTTCCGTCATATAACAAAGATGTAACTATCAATGCTTGATGATTCAAATCTGTTGAGGCGATTTACAACAGAAGACTATTACAGAATGCCCCAAGTGGACTTTTGACAACCTAGAGGAGTCCGAGAAATGACTGCTCGACATTTTCCATACAAATGCAAGGTGTTGAGATTTGAAACGTGAATGAGGAAGCCACAGGGAGAGTATATGATGAAGGGAAGGCAAATGCTTCAGTCAGGCAAAGTTAAACTATATGGTAGAAGTAACCACCAAGCCTATCGTTGGAGGCCATTAACGCTAAGATACCAGTGGTGTTTGCAAAGCTGATGGGGGGGGGGGGGGGATCGTGTAGCCTTCTGGCTTCTGGACAAGGAAACTTCAAGGACATTCACATTACTTTTGTTAGACCACCACTAGAACATATTTCCTACTCCAGTGTGGCATTCCCATCTCAAAACGCACAAAGAAGTTTGATACAAAATTGGACGCTCAACTTAAAAGGACCGAGCTACGAGTGAATATAAACTCAAAGGGGACCAGATAACACTAACTCCTTACATAACTTAATAAGTAGGTATGATAATAAACAAAGGTTTACGAGCAATGCCAAAGGCGGCCGGGTCAGGGAGCTGAAGCTCGCCTTACAAGTACAAATAGTGCATAAAACAGCCATTTCATTACTATAACATCGAACTAACAATAATTCGTCAGACCAGACAAGGCTGCCGTTTGACCTTACAAGTACATTTAGGTTATTACATATAGGCGAGTAGAGGAGCGCGGCCAGGTTGAGTAAAGACCAGCTAGCGACAGCTGCACATCAGACCGGCCATCCAGACCTCAATCCCATTCCTTAATCCAGCTTCTACTAACGCGCTCATGATACACCAACTCAAAACACCATTAATCCACGTGATTGGGCAGATTCGCGATGCTATCTTAGCGCCAACACTAACCAGAATTTGCGAGAAAACGAAAGATGATACGGGTTGTGTTAGACGCGGGTGAGAGGGAGGACCTTGGGAGAGGAGAGGGGGATTTGAAGCCAAGCGTGCGAGGATACGAACGTATAGCCGCCAGCTGCCGGGGGAGAATCGACGAACGGAGCTGTATTGGTGTGATCAGAAGCCTCTCATCCCTACGGCTTTGTCCCTCTCTCACTTGCGTGTGCACCCCCCCCCCTCCACCTCTTTCCCTCGCACGCAAATGTAACACGCGCACACACGCCACAACACGAACCGTGGGGTATACAAGCATACATGCGTGAAGCAAGAGCGAGAAAAGACTCGATACAAAAGGAAAAATGTCGAAGGTCAGTGATGAATGCAAGACACGCATGCACATACGACTAAGTACACACGCACATACACACACACACCTTACCTTGGCGGGATGTCTATACTCTCAACCACAACCAACTCCCGTGCCTGCCTGCTTGTGATGTACCTGCCTGCTTGTGATGTACCTGCCTGCTTGTGATGTACCTGCCTGCAGGTTTGAATGTCGCCTTGGAGGCTGGCCTAAAAATGCCTCGGTTACTGTTTACAAACTACTCCCTGCTGGCAACAGCATAGCAAGGTGTACCACCAGCAGGAACACATTAAAGAGGCAACAACAGAACTATCAGAATCAAACAAACAGGGGCGATAACAGGACCAGATTACAACACA